GAGAAAGACAAATTGCCTCTTGGGATTCGCACTCCAAGTCTTGATTCCGAAAGCGTCGACAGGGTTCTAAAGCAGAACGAGTCGAATCTGCAGCTAACCAAGTCAGTGATATTGCATTTTGCTGCGTTGTCCTCTCCATCGACCCATAGTTTCAACCTGACCAAAGGCCATGGATGACGGCCGTCGTCGCGGTGGCCAACTGTGGCCAGCTCAGGTCTGACCGCCAGAAGAAGCCGCGAGATGCTCGTAGTCCGTCCGGAAGGAATTGGTCTACACCGTCCGACGCCTGCGTGTCAGTCGATGGATGCTGGAGAATAAGCCGGCAGGCTGTGATGGAGAGGCAATATTTTGTTGTATTCATGCCTGACGCCATTCCCCAAGAAGTCTCCTTGGTGCTTTAGTATCGTGACACAAGCGCATTATTTCCTCTGGGTCTACAACTGAGTTACGCCGGGTACCCCAAACTGACACATTCCTTGTTTAGTGTTGAGGCTGTCTTATTCGCCTTCGACTCTTCCGTCATTGGAACTGACAACGAAGACGAGCGATGAAAACCTGCGGCATCCCGAAAGGTCCAAAGCCTACGGGTAGCCGTAGAGATGATAATTCAGCGTGGTTGGTTGGTGCGAAGTTCGCCATGAGGTGGGTTGAGAAGTTGAAGCGGTGAGGGAGCCGCCATACCGCTTTTGGCGACACTCGTGGGATGAGTGGATAGAGATGCGCCATGCGATGATGGAGGTGGGACGCGTGTAGACGAAACGATCCAGTAGACAGATGCAGTCGCATCTCCTCAGACAGGGCCAGACTTGGGATGTGCATGAAGGGCATGTTAGCTCCCGATGCGCAGCGCAGCGCCGCAGGCCAGTGGCCCTGCGAGCACACCCGTCGAGATGCAAGCTGCTGGCGGCCCTGGCGCTGGTTCGACGATGACTGGACGCTCATCGGCCATCGTACAGATGCCAGATGGGGCCCTCGTGTATTTGAAAGGTACGAATACCAGGCCTAGGAGAGGTCATTCCATGCTACTAGGCGCATGGCTGCCCAGCCGGTAATGTATCGATACCTCACGGCCTGGTGCCTCGCTGCATCGATACTAGAGCGTAGCAGGCTGGCCGAGCCGTTGTCCGCATGGCAACGCAACGTCTCCTTGACTGAAGGCGGCTTCTACCGTTTATTCCCTGACATTGGGTTCGTCCCGCTTCCGTCACGACGGTCCTAAATCCAGACGGGAGGGAAGGGTCTGAATGTGGTAAGTTGGCGTAGGAACCGAATGATGTTGGACATGGTGACATGGTGTTGCCGCTTTTTCTTCTCTCCCCCGCGAGCTTGATCCGCCTGCATTCCATGCTTTGCCATTCATATGCAGATGCATAGGCCGCGCCTGCCTGTCATCAATAAATCCAATGACAAGGCTGCACGCCCTCTCTTCAATGCCCAATCCCGTTCGCCGCAGGTCGTGGGAAATGGGTAAGGGAGTTGAGTCTCAATAGTCCCCTTGCTTGGCGGGGTTGGTGTTAATTTGAGGGTACATGGGTAACCGGGGGCGAGTGGCTGGAGGACCATGTACCTCCGCGATTGAGCGGTTTAGGCGATGAACCTCCCACTATCGTCCAGGCCGTATGGATGCGAGAATTCGAGCAAGAAGCAAGGTAGACTGGTGCAGAGGGCGGCAAATCCGAGGAAAGACGAGGGCGCCCGAGTGTTACCGGATAGGGGCTTTTCTGGCGGGAATTGCGATACACTGGGATATTGAGCAGTTCGAGACTTTGAGTATTGGTTGTGACAGTCGAGTTGAAAGAGATTTTCCTACGCGTTGGAGCGGTGGGTGGTGTTGAAGTCGTGTGGTTGACAACGTCGCGTCATCGTGAATACCTTGACATGGAAGACCGCAGCTTCGAGAAGGAAACTAACATGTGGCAGCAGCGAAGACCCAAGCGGGAAAGGCTGGTGGTGAGTTTTTCGTAGCAGGGAAGAGGGATCAAGAGAGCCAACGCAGGTGTGCGTAGGGTCCTTGGATCCTACTAGTCAAGGAACCCGAGTCCAGAAAGAGTTGTTTAATACCTACTACGAAGACGTTTTGTTAACCCCGAGACTACCGGTAAAGTATTATTATTATGGCTTATTCCAGCGCTGGAAAGGTGCTCGCTCCACAGGTAGTCACTTGCGCTTGCCTGTGCTAAGGTTGGGATGCAATTCTAACAAGTACGGATACACACCGAAAAAGCCAAGAGCTCTGAGAGAGGTAAGGTACCTTGGAGAAAGAGGCAAAGTGACGGCATCAGAAAGGGAAGGCAGTAACGGCCTGTTAGGTATGGTAAGGTAAGGAAGTAGAAGGTATCGTTGTATCCCACGTGAGAACGCAGCTGGTGGCGGCAAGGGCGTTTTACCTCAGAGCCGGTGCCTTCTCTACGGTATGGTTCTTCCCCCTCATTATCCAAATCCCTTGGGTACCTACCTTACCTTACTTTCCACTTCCTGACCGCCCAGGTTCCGCTGCTTGTTCAACGTGGAATGGAAACATCCTGAAATACACCTGATATCCAGGACCTGCTGACCTCGTGGTTACCTAAACATTCTAGAGTCCGCCCTCGTGGCTCCTGCGTCGCGTACTAAGACTCAGAGACCATGTACTTCGTAAGAGTGTGCTGCCCGAATGCCCACTTGAAGCGGACGGCATCCTGGAGAAATGGCATCACCTGGGCGGCAGGCTGAAGAGGAGGGAGGGGTCAAGGTGGTGTGAATTGAGTCAAACGACTCCGGCGTGCAGGGGGTGCCATCTTTCTGAGTCTCGAGACACTTGATATCACACTAACTCGGCCAATGAAGCGCCGAAGCCGCCCTTCTTAACCGACCACACTGCCAGGGATCACCACCTTTTTGCAGACTCCCAGAGTGAGGTACTTTGGAGTTGTACTGTCACAGTCTGGTCAGTGGGTGGGTTGCTGCGCTTTCGCCGTGGCACCTCCTCCCCCTTCTGGGCTAAGCACCCTAGGTACCCATCATGGGCCATGCCGTTGCTCGGGATCTATCGCCATGTACATCACACACACACACACACACACACACACACACACACACACATACGGTCCACGGAGCGGGCCAGGGGAAGAAAAGGCGGCGAGCAAATGGGGGCGGGAACAGCGACAGCACCCAGACAGACGGAGGAGACGGAGGAGCAACCACGGGGAGACTGAGACTGGACGCGATGAAAGATGCGTGTGGATTGGTCCTGATAGGATGGTTGATGGATGATGGATGGGACATGGCTGGGCGGATGGATCGCATAGACGTGCATACAGCATCAATATCCATAATTATTCTTTCCGTCCTGCCTTACCTTTTACCTCGCTTTACCTTTACCTCACATAAGGTACGGAGGGAATACTGACTTTGTATTTCTCTGTCTGCAGACTCACCTTATTACCTTGCCCTTGTATTCCTCATTTGGATTGTTGACTCCCGTCTTGCCTTAGTCCTTGTGTACATCTCCCCTGTATACAAGGCGCTCGCCGCCGCTCATGTTTCTCCTATCTGTTTCTACTATTCTTGCGTCGTTTCCTGTTGTACGACAGGGCGAAACCTCTGACCAATTTCGCTGAAGAAGAGAGCAGAAAGACAAATCGCCCTCGGTGGAAGAAGGCGTGCATCAAGTTAACATATTGTACACTAATTGCAGAGTAGACAAGCGGGCTTTTCATTCACATCCCGTTCGGTCAATTGCCTCAACATCTGGCTGGCCGGGCCCGGGCTCGACAATAGGACGACGGCGCCTTACTCACACCACCATCCGAATCGCATCTCCGAACAAGTACGGAATACTTTTGCTCAGCTCACGAGTCGGAACCAAGCAAAGCACGACCTCAAGGACATCACCAATCCCAAGTGCAGGCTGTGGCCTACGTTGCCTGCCTCCTGCAAGATATCTGGCGGTCTGCAACCACATCCATCCACCTATTCGCCTTCGCCGCGACGATCTAGTGTCAACACGCCGACCCATTGGCTCCCTGTGAAGGAAGTGGCTTGTAAGAAATGATTTTTTTTTAACTCTCCTCTCCTTTTTTGCCGGGTCACATCGAGCGTTCCTATTGCTCCTTTCTTGCATATGGCCAATTCAACCTCACCTCCTCCAGAGAGAGTCATCTTGTTAGAAAAAGGGGCGATAGGAACGGCTTGAAAGTCGTGGTTAAACATAATCAAGAAACTGGTGGATTGACCTCTCTCTCTTAGGACAGCTTCAATCCAGGACCATTTCCCCGGCGATCAGACGCGACGGCGGCGACTTTCTCAAGCTGTGAGCCTGTGACACCAAGAGCTACATCCCTGCTATCGCTTCGACTTGACCCGTTATCGTCCAATTCTCCGGCAATTTTGAGCAGGGGGACCAGGAACATACCTGTAGCCAAAGGCGGGAGAAAAAAGAAGAACAAGAAGAAACAGGCGAGTGTATTTCCTCCTCCCTGCCCTGCCATATCTTATCCATCCGCTGGTCCCCTCTTCTTCCCTGCCCCCAATTCACCTTACCCTTCACCACCCCCAGATCCCAGGTCCCTTGCACCACCGTGTACCGCAAAAGTGCTCCGTCTCTTTGGCGGCCACCCGAGCCGACCATCCCACCACCCAGCCTACGCAGTTACATCTCCCACCATATTCGCAGTCCCTGGAGTTTTTTTTTCTTCTTTTCGTCCCTACTGACTTGCACCACCTGTCTCAGTTCGCCTCGGTCGTACGAATACATAGTCTGGAGATTTATATCTGCAAGCGAACTCCTCCCACATCCTCTCCAACTCTCGTTTCATCGACCCGCCCCCTCCTCTGGCCAGCGCGAACCCGGTCGCTTTCCCAATACATTGCGTACAACAATTGCTACGATTACGACGACCACGACGAAAACCGCGAGCTGCACACCGATATACCCTCTTCAGCCGTTACTCTCCTCCGAACCGATTTAGCTTCCATGATTCTCACACCAAGCTGTAGCAACACGAGCTCAACTTCTCAACATGGCGGCGGTCGCGGTGACCACATTCTCCCCATTAGGGCGGGCAGAAGGCGCATATCCATGGACATCAACCCAGCAATCGACGACGACTGGTTGGGCTGAGGAAGATGTGCGCATCCGCTTGCGCATGATCGCCCGCGCCTGGGAATCCGCTTCACACAATGCTCAGGTACGACCCGAGACTTTTTCGTCTGCCGTCATGGTTTTCTCCAATTCCTATCTACTCTGGAATTTTGTGCGCGCCGGCGCCGTTCCAGCCTGGACGCCTCAGCGCTCGTCCCCAAGTCTAACGGCTTACCGTTCGCTGCCATGGCTGGTCCGGAAAGCTGTTGGACGGGAGTCGGGGGTACGTGAGGGGCATGACGCCGTCTCACCCCCCATTCCACTAACACATGCCTTTCAGATGAACGACTGAGCTAATCTGATCCGCTGACATCCCTAGATTTCATCCCATCATCGACGACCCCTCAAAACCACGTGCGGCATCTCAACCCCGTTGAAGGCACCAGAATGCGGCCCGCGATGGTTGCGACGATTTGAAGCGCCCTCTGAACCGTCCGAGCTGTGCGAGCAAGTTATGGACCCGACGAACACTGGCGGTTTTGCAAGTCGACGACCATCGGACTTTTCCTTCTTCTCCCAACCGCAAACTTCAAACCCAGATCAGCGACAGCGACGTAACGGCGACGCCATATTCAGTGATCCCACACGCGATTTTCTCATCGACTTCGGTTCTGAGGAAGGATTCATGCAAGCGGCAAAGAAGAAGAAGAAGGCGCCAGCCAAGGCGCCGGCGGCAAACAACAACAACGATGACGATGGCGCGAAGAAGGAAGACGAAGGCGCCGGTGATGGAGGTGATCAGGGCGGTGACGCAGGTAACGACGGCGGAGCTGCGGGCGACGGCGATGGAGGCGACAAAGAGACACCACCAGCAGATGATCCGCCCCCAGAAGATGACTGGGGCTTCGCAACCACGAAATCCAAGAAGAAGGGCAAAAAGGCCGATGAACCGGCACCTGATTCATTTGATGAAATCAAATTGGACGACATAGGCAGCGGCAACGGATCGCTCGACATCAATTTCGGCTCAACGGAGACCAAGAAGTCAGGAGGATTCGGTTGGGGACTGGGAGCGTCAAATTGGACAACAACAGGCACGGGACTAGGGAACACATGGGATTGGTCTGGCGCTAACAAGAATGCAGCCACAAGTACGCCGGCAGAGGCAAAGGAAGACGTTGATTCAAATCCATGGGGCTCCAAAAGCAAAACGAAGAAGAAAAGCACGACGCTGGGGTTTTCATTCGGCGACGACACACCAGCTGACCCGGAACCGGCACCCGATCCGCCGCAGGAGAAAGAGGAGAAAGATGACCCGTGGGGCTTCGGCACTGCGACTTCAAAGAAGGACAAGAAGAAGAAGAAAACCAGTATCTGGGATGCGGTGGAAGAGGAGAAGGCCCCTGAACCACCCAAGGAGGAGCCACCTGCAGACGACCCATGGGGTTCGTGGGGCGGTACCACCAAGAAGGGGAAGAAGGACGACCCCCCCAAAGAGGAGCCGAAGGACGACCTGTGGGATACCTGGGGACTTGGTAAGAAGAAAAAGAATAAGGACGAGCCGGCGCCTGAACCAGTCCCTGAGCTGGCGCCTGACCCGCCAGCCTCTAACGAGGATCCTTGGAGTTGGGGAACATTATCGGGGAAGAAGAAGAAGAAAGGTCTAGTCGACCTTGAACCTGAACCTCCCCCGGTGGCAGACCCAGAGCCGGAGCCCACCCCGCCGCCAGAGCCAGAGCCAGAGCCCGTTGATCCTTTCGCAGGCTTGACCAATTCACAGAAGAAGAAAAAGAAGAAGGAGATGGCTGCCGCCGCCGCTGCTGCCGAGGCCGAAGCTGCTAAAGCCGCCGAGGCTGCTGCTGCTGCTGCCGAAGCAGAGGCTGCCGCCGCTGCCGAAGCGGAAGAGGCAGTCCGCAAGGAAGAGGAGGAACGATTAGCAAAAGAGGCTGAAGAGCAAGCAGCCAAAGAAGCAGCAGAAGCCGAAGAGGCGGCAAAAGCAGCGGAAGCGGCGAAAGCAGCAGCAGCGGACGACTTTGGATGGGGTGTATCAACTAAAACCAGCAAGAAGAAGAAGAAAGGCAAAGCTGACCCAGAGCCCGAGCCGGTTCCTCCTCCACCCCCTCCAGCCCCTGAACCAGAGCCTGAGCCAGAGAAAAAGGACGACCCATGGGGCTTCGGCACCGTGACATCCAAAAAGGACAAGAAAAAGAAGAAGGGACTTCTTGCCGAACCTGAACCTCCCAAGGAACCGGAACCTGAACCCGAGCCGGAGCCAGTACCGGAGCCAGAGCCCGAACCGGAGAAGCCAGCAGAAGATGACTTTTGGGCCAGTCTAACAGGATCTAAAAAGGACAAAAAGAAGAAGAAGGGCAAGACTACCGATCCCGAGCCGGAACCCATTCCTGAACCTGCGCCCGAGCCCCCTGCTGCTGATCCAGAGCCAGAACCTATAGCGGACGACGACTGGGCAAGCTTCGGCCTTTCCAAGAAGGACAAGAAGAAGAAGAAAGGCAAATTGGCGGATCCCGAACCCGAACCCGAGATTGTACCAGAACCGGCGCCTGATCCCCCAGCCGAGGAAGCGGAGCCTGAACCTGAAAAGAAGGATGACGACGACTTCTGGGCCGCTGCTACTAGTTCGAAGAAGGACAAAAAGAAGAAGAAGGAGGCCGAAGCTGAAAAGTCCAAAGATGACTCTTGGGGCATTTGGGGTCTTTCCTCTAAGAAAGACAAGGAGAAGGAGAAGGAGAAGGACAAAGACAAGGAGAAGGAAAAGAAGAAGAAGAGCAAGGAGGCCGATAAGGAGGCTGAGGAACCGAAGGCTGAAGTGGTCGAAGAGGATGAATGGGCCGGTTTGAGCAAGTCGGACAAGAAGAAGAAGAAGAAAGATGCCATGGCCTTGGTTGAGTTTGGCGGAGAGGACGAGCCTACCCCTGCCGAGGAAGCCCCCCCTGCTGTGCCAGACATTGCCGATCCCCTGGATGGCGGCGGCTTCTTCAGCTCATGGAACATCGGCGGTAAGAAAGACAAGAAGAAGAAAGGAGCCGACGCCGACGAAGGCGCTTCTATGAAGCCCGATGCAATCGAGGAGCCCACAGATGACATCTGGGGAACCTCGTCCTCCAAGAAGAAGAAGGACAAATCCAAGAACGAGCCCATTGAAGTCGTGGACGAGGAGCCCACCGTGGATTCCGTACAACCGGATTCCGTCGAGGAGACCAAAGACGACGATGACTGGGCCGCCTGGGGATCCTCCAAGAAGAAGTCTAAGAACCGTAAGGACATACTCGCCGACCCTCCACCGGAAGCTCCCACCCCTCCCTCATTGGACATGGCTGAGCCTGTAGCAGAAGCAGAACCTGAGAAAGAGAAATCCAGCTTTTGGGGTGACATGACCTCTTCCAAGTCTAAATCCAAGGACAAAGATAAAGACAAGGAAAAGGAGAAGTCCAAGAAAGAGCCCAAGCTGAGCGAGAAGGAGCTCAAGAAGCTCGAGAAAGAAAAGAAAAAGGCTGAAAAGGAGGAAGCAGCGCGGTTAGCCAAAGAGGAAGAGGAGGCTGCCACTGCTGCTGCTGATGCCGCAGCTAAGGAAGAGGAAGAACGCCTTGCGCAAGAAGCAGAGGAGGCCGCGGCAGCGGAGGCGGCTGAGGCGGCCGAGAAGGCACGATTCGAAGAAGAGGAGGCTGCAAAGATTGCGGATGAGGAGGAGCAATTCGCTGCCTTGGAGGCCAAGAAGGCCAAAAAGGGCAAGTTGACCAAGAAGGACCAGGGTGTTTACGACACACTCAAGGCATCAATCGACGAGCGCGCTGCTGCATCCCAAGCTGCTGCGGATGCCGAAGCGGCCGCCGCTGCTGAAGCTGAAGAAGCCGCTCGCATCGAGGAGGAAGAGCGACTCGCCAAGGAAGCAGAAGAAGCTGCTGCCAAGGAAGCCGAGGAGCAGGCGGCACGTGAGCGAGAGGAAGCTGAAGCAGCGGAGAAGAAAGCGAAGAAAAGCTCCAAGACGGAGAAGGAGTCCAAGTCCAAGTCTAAGAAGGAGAAGGAGAAAGAAAAGGAGAAGGAGAAAGAGAAGGAAAAGAAGGAGAAGAAGGATAAGAAGGACAAGAAAAGCAAGGACAAGGAGAAGGAGAAGGAAGAGGAGCCGGAGCCGGAGTCGGCACCAGTCGAGGACATCGACAACGAGGATGAGCTGGCTGATATTGAGCTGACCGAGGACCAAATCGAGGAGCTCCTGGCCGATCCCGAGCCTGAGGAAGCTGCCCCTCCTCCACCACCCCCGGCGCCGGAAGTAAAGCCATCCAACGATGCCTTCAGTTTCTGGGGCGTTGGCACTAAGAAGTCGAAGAAAGGTATGTGGCCTCAGGCTCGCAGCCAATCTCCCTTCACACCACCACACCACCAAGTCTCACCAAGCCTATTGGAAATGAGACGCCTCAACGGGCGTCACCTGAGATTACACTGCTGACTCATCTCCGCATAGGTCTAGAAGGTGCGAATCTCGGTTGGAATGACACGACTACATCATCCGCCACAAACAACGATGCCCTGTCCTGGATGCAACCGTCTACGGCTCGTAAGGGCAAAGGAAACAAGATTACTGACAGATTAAAAGCGTTTGAACCCATCCCGCCGCCAGAAGACGAACCTGAGCCCGTTGTAGAGGAACCTGCTCCTGAAGAGCCAGCACCAGAAGAACCGGCCCCGGAGGACCCTCCACCCGAGGAACCGGAACCCGCACCACCAACTCCTCCCCCCGTCGTCTTGTCGAAGGAAGAGAGAAAACGACTGAAGAAGGAGAAGAAGCGCGCTGCCGAAGCTGCACCCGCGCCTCCGCCGCCACCGCCTCCTCCTGTTGTCGAGGAGCCACCGTTAGTCGACGTTGAAGAACCAGCTGACGAGAACAAGTCTTCGGAGCCGCCTGGAGCTTTCCCCGTCGAAGAGGATGAGAACGAGATCATCGAAGTGATTGAAATGCCAGTGGAGAAGAAGAAAAAGAAGAGTAAGAAAAACAGAGATAGGGATATACTCGCCGAAGAAGTCCCTCCTCCACCAGCTCCACCCCCGCCTCCGGCCGTTCCTGAGGCTCCTGAAGACCCTGTGCCTGAGGAGGAACCCGCCCCCGAGGAAGAGCCCATCTCACCTCCACCTGAGCCGAAGTCAAGCAAGAAGGACCGGGCGAAAATCAACCGAGAAGGTTCCTCGTGGGGTATGTGGTCGGCTTCACCTCGCGAGAAGGAGAGAGACCGCGACCGCGAACGTGATCGTGACCGCGACAGAGACCGGAAATCCAAGTCAAAATCCGAAAGGCGTGAAAAGAAACATGCTTACGGCGACGAGGAAAAAGTCAAGACTTCCTCCAAGGGTTCAAGCTCTGGCAAGGGCGACCGCGCCGATAGAGACGTTGAGACACCAGCCCGGCCGAAACTTATGTCGATGTTCAGCACACCGCCCATTTCCCGGACGACATCCACCCGGGACCGGCGACACAGACCGTCCCGTCGTCATTCGGTCGACGCGAGCGGATTGGTGTCGCCACCTCCCGAGGAAGCCCCTCCACCTCCCATGTCCTCCAAAGCCGCCAAAGTGCTTGGAGTCGACAAGTCCAGCAGCAGGCGCCGCAAGCACGATCATATTGTTGACGAAGACATTGTCATGGTCGGCGCCAATGGTGACGGCGAGGACGGCAGCCCTCCCAAGTCATCACGCCGACGATCTAGATACGCTAAAGACGATGACCTTGTCATGGTGGACCCCGATGGCCCTTCCGAGCCACCACCGATGAAACGATCCAGCTCGAGTGCGAAGAAGGGCCTAGGAGGCCTGTTCAGTGGCCTCAGAACACCCAAGACAGAGCGTCCGGACCCGTTGCGGAGGCGACACACCTATGCGACCGATGATGACACCAGGCGCGAACGCCGTCAACGATCCCATGCCGATGCAGACGAAGCGGACCCCGCAGCGATGACCGACATGGACCAGGAGGCTCGCCGCGCTGCTCGCCGTGCTCGTCGCGCTGCCAGGAATGCCGAGGCGGCCGAGGCCGAGGTCGTCGAGCCGGATCCCGAAGAGGCACGTCGCGCCGCCAAAGAAGAGGCCCGGCGCGAGCGCCACCGTAGGAGAGACGAAGAGGACGCCGAAGTACGCAAGCAGCAGGAGAAGGAGCTGAGACGTGCAGAACGGCGCGCGGCTCGCTCTCGCGGACACCGCGACCAACGTGAGGAAGAGGAACGGAGAATGGCTGAAGATAGGGAGGCCGAGCGTGCCGAACGGCGGAGAGTCCGGAAGCAGCGCGAGGCGACTGCCGCAGCGGAGGCTGACGCAGATGCTCGACGCGCAGCCCGGGAAGAACGCCGACGAGCCCGTGAGGCCCGCGATCGCGAAGCGGCGCCGCCGCCACCGCCGATGGACGAAGAAGAAGCCCGTAGAGCCAGAAAGGAAGCCAGACGTGCTGCGCGTGCCGCGGCCGAAGGGACCGACGCGGAAGAAATGTATCACCACCGCTCCAGCCGGCGAACCCGGGAGTCCGGGGACGAAGGCATGCATTCCTCGCGACATCGGTACAGACGTAACGAGGAGTCCAAGCCGGCGTGGCCTCACTCCGGAACGTCATCGTGGGTCAAGGAGCACACTGACGCCGGCCCGCCTCCGGACGATGGCGGACAACAGACGGACGCCGTGCCCCAGACCGAAGATGAGGCGCGCCGTGAACGGCGCGAGCGTCGTCGCAGGGCCAGGTACGAGGACGGTACTGCAGACGAGGCGGATGATCGCCGCCGTAGAGCCCGGCGCGAAGAGCGTGAGCGTCGGACGTACGGCGGTAGCGGGGGTGCCGGAGGCGGCGGCGGCTCCGAGGGGAGCGACGAGCGGCGTCGGCAGGCCATGTTCTCCGATGCGACGGCTACGCCGCGGAGTAGTTGGTGGAGAAAGCTGACTGGTTGAAGAGACGCACAACACACACACAAAGAGAGAGAAGAGAGAGAACGAAAACTACGACAAAATGATGTGTATGAATGGATGTCAGCGACGCGTTGTGCGATTTTCTTTTTTTGTTTTCCCCTTTTAACCCCCTTTTGTCGGATGGGAACACCACGTATGTTTTGATTCTTGTTTGAGAAAATGTTGTTTTGCTATACCAAAGAAAATCCCTCTACGATATGTTTGACATATACCCTCATCCAAATACGCATACCATTTTTTTGCTGCAATACTATGTTGTGGAAGGAGGCTCGAGATAGTTGATGAGTGTTGTTTCCATGTATAGGCATCGCCTCCAGGCGGCCACGGAGAGAGATGTCTTGGATACGATCATGATTAGCATGGGCATAGGCAGCATAGCATAGCACACACACATATATACATCTATTTGGCACCATAAAAGTATGAAACTGGAGAATGAACGGTAAGAATGCATCAAGAACCTATGTCTCTTTCTCCACTACACCAAGCGTACACAAACAAGCCCTGTCCCAAAAGGATGGCGATACCTTCCACCCAGCACTGACATGTCGGAAGGGAACCCTGGAAGCGGGCATCACAGAGCACCCCGAAGCCCTACAACGCGGAGGCGGACATCCATCCGTGCAAAAGACGTCCATCTCGACCAAACTATACGCGTCCGTTCGCCGGGAACCAAAGATGCCCCTCCCAGGATGTGCGGAAGATCGGGCCTTCTGTCATAGCGTCGGAAGCAAGACCAAGATAAGCCAGCGGCAGAACGGGCAGAGACGGTGAGAATGAAACTCTTTGCACTCTTTCTGGTGCTTACGTATAATCATCGGGAGGCCTCCTGGGTCGTTATACGGAACTAGGCATTACTATATGGTACTATGGAGTATGGTAGATGTAGGGTATATTTGGACGCCCAACGGCGTACCCACGGCCCATACGTAAGCGTGAAAACGCTCTCAGGCTTTCTTTGGGCGTGTGCGTAGAGACAAGGGGACAGATGTCCTTCTCTAATTCGGACATCAAATCGAACAAGGAGAGAAAAGAACACCCTGGTTGCTCAGCGCAGCCCAGTCAACTTGAGCAGATCATGTTGATGGAAGTAAGCGCGGATGCGTTTGCCATAGAAATCTATAAGTCATTAGCTCTCTGATTTGTAAGGCGTGACAGATCGGCGACTTACACATTGGAATACTCGTGGCACAAACAACAACCTGAATGCTGGCAATGGCCATCATAGTAGGCTTGATACCACCACCGATGATCCAGTCATAGGCACTGAACGTAAGACCAAAGCTGAAGATGTTCTTGAAAATGATCATGATGGTGAAGCCTTCGATGGCCAGGTCACGGTAGGCATCAACGATGTATAGAGAGCTGGCCACAGCCCCGATGACCATACCAGCAACCTCGAAGCCGAAGAATACGAGCGGGATGCTGTAGTGGTATTCCCTAGCTGAAAGACCAGCAGATGTGACGCCGAACCCGTAGAGACCAATAGAACCGATAATGAACATGGGTAGGACCATGACAATACGGAATTCGGGTTCGTAGATGCCATTGTTGCGACGGGTCAAGAACTTGGCACTCCAGTCGGAGAAAGCACCAGCAATGATGAAGCCAACGAGCGCTCCCACGAAAGCACCAACGTAGGCGTATCCAGCGTAGACCTCATTCCAGTAGTAAGGAGGCCCCAAGAAGAGGGCAGCAACAATGACACCAATGAAGACTGTCCAACCGATCATGGTACCTTGAATCAGACATCCCCACAGAAAGGCGGGCTGGGCGAAAAGCGGGAACGGGCGAAGAAGCAGTTTCCAGTAATGCTCGTCCGTCTTGCGGCCATCAAACAAGGCCAGCGACTGAATGAACGTCTTCTTCGGAGTTTGAGCTCCGGCTCCTCGGACAGCCTCCAGGCCTGATCCGTAGGGCGCTGACGTAGGGTTCAGCTTCTCGTGGTCGCTGGACCTGCTGCCCGGGCCATCGGCATAAGACGTTTTGTTGTCAGTGAGTTCGATGGAGTCAGCAACCATATCCGTGTTGAGCGCAGTGTCCCGACGATAGGCTGTCTCAGGGCAAAGAAAGAAGACGGCGGGGAGGCACACGGCACAGAAGATGGCCTCCAAGTAAAACGTCCACCACCACCCAATGCTGTGAGTGATCTTGCCAACAACAATGGGGGTGAAGAAGGCGCCGCCAAACACTGCCAAGTTCGTAAAGGCCATGCGGGAGCCGCGCTGGTGTACAAAGTACAAGTCACCGACGGCGGCATTTACGAGTGTCTCGAAGGGAGTACAGCCGATGCCTTGGACAATGCGCGCACCAAGCAGCGAGTTGTAGCTCGTGCCGACAGAGCCCGCCCACGCAGACGAGGCAACGAGGATGCATATCCCGAGAATGAACAGATGGCGCTTGCCCCAGACTCGCGCAGAAGGCACAAAGAAGATGGCTGCGGCACCAACTCCGAGAAGAAAGTAGCCGGTCAGAAGTGCGATGCGGGTGAAGCTAGTACGGAACAGGAGAGCAATCGTAACGGTATTCGCCGCGAGAATAGGGCCGAGCGCGGTCGCGAAGATGGCGGTCATGGAGAGAACAAAGGTGATGAGGTCTCGCTTCCAAAGGGGCCAGTTCAGGGGATCGTTGGGGTCATCGGATGGTTGAGGAACCTGGTGGACTTGTTGTCAGCTGGGGGCTCACAGACTATGTCGTAGAAGCTATCCCGTCGGCTGCTCACCAGAATGATGGGCACATCGCCGCTCGCGTCGACTTTCAGTCCGTGGTGAGAATCGTTCGCTGTCTGGGGGCGGTTTGGATCATCGAAGTAGCGCGTCGTTCCTGGAGTTTTGACGTTCGTCAGCGATGGGATGACAGGAGGACAATGCGAGCAGAGCGTTGAGCAGAAGCCGCGCGGGGACGCGGGCGGCCAGCGCGCGTGCAAGACAACTCACCTGGGACATTGTCCAAAGCCTTGGACTCGAGAATGCCGAGACCCATGATGGCAGAGTGTTGGAGGTTCCAGATGCTTGTATGAGCAGCGTGGACGTTGCAGGTCTCACGACATGATAAGGCTGAGAAGGAGTAGAGCCAGGCACAACAGAGTCGATCTGGCGTAGGGCGGTTGTCGTAGTAGTCGGGAAGAAGAACCTGGAGAGAGGGACCCGGTGAAGTGACCTCGTTCAAGAAAAAAGGCTAACCGTTCTAGGTTTCCGTGTCTCTCGCCTCTCCTCATCTCCTTGCCTCCTTCCCCCAGCTATGGTGCGACCTTGAACATTGGTGTGGAGCCACCCGTGAAGGAGGTACCTTTTCTAGCTTCCCTGACCGGCACTTTGCTGCTGTCTTCGGCAGCTGCGGGCTTGGAGTGCTGGGATATGGTGCAGGGGTTCCCAGTCGCACTTACCCATCTTTTGTGGCTCATTAAACCTTAATGAAAGAGCTTGTCGGATGCTGTGGATGCAGTTCAAGACTCTCGGCCAGGTCCCCCTACAATTGGACAGGGAAGGGTACGGATAGATATTTTTACGGGGAACGAAGCACATACTTGGGAACATACTACGCAGCAAATGCCCAGGAAGTAAGAAAACCCTCCGGGTCCTGTCACCTCTTGACCCAACGCACTGGGCGGAGAATCCTCTCGCCGAAACGGCCGGGTGACGACTGGTTGGCCAGTCCGACCAGGTGGACATGGTCCCGAAGAGGAAAAGGAAGGGAAAACGCCAAAACGACGAACGAACTAAAGATTCGTCGTCTTGACCAAGTTGGCGTCCAATCTTCCACAAGTTTTTCTTATGATTACTGATCAGGGTGCACTGACTCTACTTTGCGCAAAAACTCAAACGCAAACTCGCAGTCCAAACTGAGAGGTGAGAGAGAGCCCGCAGAGGAAAGCTTCCACTTCAAACCAACCTTGACTAAATCATCTCAACATGTGAAGCAACCGTTTTTTCCTGACTGATATTGATATACAGTTTACCTTTTCGCGTCACCAAGACCCCGAAAAGAGCCCGTCGTCATGTGTGTACGCAGTACGTAGCGTTGCTTTGTCCTCCTCGTCCATCATCTTCGGGGCCCACGGCCGTGCCCCCGTCGCAAAAAAGTGGTTGTTAGCACAGTCTTACCAAGACGAGCTTATCTCCGAAGATGTGCATCTGTGCAGCCCATCCAGATCTAGACAAGTATGGGTACCACGAAGCAATTGTGGAGGGGCTGTGTTCGTGAAAGCCAAGCTTTCACTCGTTGCAGGGATGAAGGTCCGATCTGAAAGCCTCCTCAACCGAGCTACCGTGAACGCCAACGACCAAAGCCTCGGACTCTGATCTAGAACCACGAGCACTTCGTCGCGACCAGATGGCACGTCCAGCTCCACGGCTCAGGAGAACGGGTCGCGTATTTCTTCGGCTCAATCCACTTCGACACTAGGCTGGTTCCGTAGGTCCGTAGGACTGTAGGGCGTCCTGGCAGTCAAGTGACTGTCGAGGAGACCAAGAAAAGGTCCTCGAATTTTCTGCCAAGTCGGTCGATGCGTCTTGTTTCATTCCTCTTTCGGCGCTTCTAGTGCGGACTTACAAACACCCTCCATCCTTCAAAAATGGCTCAAAGTCCTCTTGATGGCCCTTGGAAAAGTCTCTCGGTTTCGCGGCAAGCTGAGAGCCTAGCTCGTTGTGTTTTTCTCTTTTGTCGCGGTTCTAGGAAGGAAAGATCAACTTGTTTTCCTGGTCAAATCTCAGCAACTGGCCAATTCTTATCTCTACAGGTTTGGCAACATCACAATACTCTCACGAGATATTACAAGTAGTCCGAAGCACGGAGTTCCGCGCTTTTGGGTCAAGTTGGTTGTCGTTGTTGACCTCCAGCGCGTTGTAATATTTCGGAAGAAAATTGTAATTTGTGTCCCCCTTGCTGATAGAAAATTGCGGGATTGCAAGATGGCAGTTGTCGACTGCAAGAGCAAAGTTTCCAAGTCAGGAAATTGCACAGGTTTGTTGTTTCTTCGACTG